TTGCCCCCCCCCCCCCGCCCTCCACCCCCAACACTTTCTTTCTCTCACCTTAAAAACCCATGTGCAAAGCACATGTTGGACTCACTCAATCTATTTTAAACGCCGCCACACGTGCCCGGCCCCCAGCCTGCCCGAAAGCATCACAAGGGGAGGAGGAGGAGGGGGGGGACATGCTTGTCCCAGGTGTCCCCCCCCAGCCATAGGGCATCCTCCCCAGCACCAGGCTCTGCCTCCCCTCGGCCCCACGCTCCCCCCACGAGCCTCCAAATGCAGCTATTCAGGCAGTTTTTAAGCTAATCTGTATTTACACACTTTTTTTTTTTAATTAATTTAAAAGTTTGTTGTGGTTTTTTGTTTTTTTTTTTAAACTAGCTCTTAAATTAACAAGAAAAAATGTATAAATATATATATATACTTTATATATATATATATATATATGTATCTTAATCTAGCCAACCTGCGGCTACGGCATTTCTGAAGGGTCACAGGGTCGGTGCTATTCTTTCAATCTCAAGTTTCCACGACACGACGCCTTTTGAAATAATAATAATTATGATTATTATTACTATTTTAATACCTTTAAACTCTATTTATGACTTTCTTCTCTATTTATTTCTTACGTAGTATTTTTAACTCCTGCCCATACGCCCAAGTTGCCATTCCCTGCCCTGGGGCTTGCCTTGCCTTCCCAACCTGCAGGCTTTGTCCCTCCCCACCCCAGGCCACCACCAGAATGTCTCACAAGCCCCACCTTGATGCCCTCCATGGCTCTTCTGTGGACCCACCTCCACGGTGGCATCTTCTGTGGGTGCAGCACCCGGCTCATTGGGCTCCTTCAGCCACCCTCAGCGAGGACCAAGAGTGGTCCTGGCCCTGGTGCCCCCCAAGGTGGTGGTGGTGGTGGTGGGGTGGGGGCTGCCTTAGGTTGCCCATGGTTAGAAACACCCAGAGAGGTCTCAGAGCTTTGAGGTGAGGAGGGGGTGAAGAGAGAGAGCAGCACGGGGTCCCAGCACCAGCTAAAAGGCATTTTGGGGGCCACTTCTTGCCGACGAAGAGTAGTTAGTGCTTTG